GCCTTAACACTAAAACAAGTCCAAATATCGAGGATTTATTTTAAAGTAAAAACCTAACCCTTGACTCCTGCATTGAGGGTATCCTGTGGGTTTTTTACATTGTGTGGGGTATTTTGCTGGTATGGATTAGGTCCATTTGTCAGTTTTTTTCTGTTCTCATGCTAATTCTCTATACCAGTGGACAGTGCCTCGAGGCATGAGGTCAGTGGCTTTTTTCATGTCGGTGAAAATGATGTCTTAGGGTGTGGTCTTTACAGTTAGCAGATCTCAGTTTTATTCAGAGGTTTTAGAAAGGTCTTTCTACCACTCATCGAAGCAATGTTCTATTGAAAGCAATCATATAAAACTATGCTAAGTGTCTGTCTATAACTACTAATGAGATGTAATGTAGACATGCTGTTTCATACTTTTCCACACTTGTGATTTTCAGATCCCAAGGTGAGGTGACATCCCATCACGTTTAGTGCTGCAAGAGGAGCTTTTTTTGTAGAGGAAACTCCTAAGAAGTAAAAAAATGTCTGGTGCAAAGATCAGTTCACTGACCCTCACCCTACTCTTCCTTATGCCCTCGGTAAGTGTTATTTCTTTACTCATGTCTTATAAATGGGTTTATGAAAACGTGTGCAGCAAGGCTAACTGCTCATGTCAAAGTGCTTCTGAAACATTCTGTTTGCAACAGGTGGAGATTCACTTCAGCAGTGTTTGCATATTAGATTGATTTTCACACACTTGTACACTAATTTACTTAGAATAACCATATGGAGTATCTGCATCAATAATTCATTGATCAGCATGTGACAGGAATAATGGATAAAGATGCATCCTCATCATTTATTCATGGATTGTTCAGCATTATTCCAGCCTGTTAACTGTGTGAGGAAAGAATGGCCTCTCCTGTCTTCTGCGGTAGTTACAGCAGATGTATCATCACCTGGGCTGAGGTGACAGAGAAACTGACAGAATAGCTTTTTTCTTTGAGCAGAAAGTAACAATTAAGGATGAAATGGAGGGGGGGGGGATAAAGAGTAGTGGAAGGCAAGGGACACAGAACAGAGTAGTTAATATTTACAAATTGTCACTATGTATGTAATCACTCATACCCACATGTTTGAATTCAAAGGTGTTTGAAGGAAGGGAAATAAATGGAGAGCTTACAGTCTTTAGTCGTGCTAGTAGTCTGTGCTGCAGGGAGAATGGACTGCCATACCTGTTATGTGTCTGTGAGTGAGGGAGGGAGAAAAAGGAAAGTGAAAAAGTACGAGCTGTCACCAAGCAGAAACGGGAGATGGAAGCATGTAAATATAATAATAACCACTGCAGCCAAAAAGAGTGCCTGACGAGCCCAGTTGTAAGTAAGCTATTAAGACTCAACTGTACACTGTGTTCCTGTTTTCCTCCGAAACAATAAGTTCTGTTGGAGCCTTTCATTGCCTCTCTCTGTCTCTCACTAGCAAAGTTGACCCAGACAACGAAGTAAAGCTAGTTTTTGGCTACAAGCCCGACACAGAACCCGACGTATTAGCCAGAGGTCCCTTTACGGTTTTACGCCTTTACGGTTCGGAGCCGTGGATCTGTTTTATATACGAGCGGAATAGTTTTCTATACGAGATCACTGAAAAAAGTGCAGCCTTATCTAATGTCCACCCTGTTACTCATTTTATATTAAGATTTAAAAATCTAGTTGGCATTGCTATGACGAATAACCTTCAGTAAAAGCAATAAATCACACAGCAATAGTACATTCATGTAGTTGTAAAAAGCATGATAATGTATTAAGTAATCCAAAGTATTCAGAATACGTTAAACTCATTGAGAACATGTTACAAAATACATTTTGGGGCATGTATTCTGTAATCTGTAGTGGAATACATTTTTAAAGTAACCTTCCCAGCACTGGGTATATGTGAGCACTTGGCAACAGTGGGAAGGAAAAACACACTTTTAACAGGACCAGGGTCATGGAGGGCCAGTCATCTGCCAGAACTACTTGGTGGTGATGGGAGGAAGATGGGACAAAACACAGACAGGCCTTGTATCCTGTATCATGATAAAGCTACTACCTTGTGTGGATATCCAAAATAATTTACAATTGTTACAAAATTATCAAGTATGTGTTTAAAGTTATTTGAAGTTGTTTCAAACAAAACTTTGCAACTTTGTAAACATAAACCAGTGTTATATTATTGGTACTGTTAGAATTATATAATAATGTAAAGGCCAATGTTGTTTTGCTAACATATATATACTTTTAAATAATATATATTTCAATTTGTCTGTTAAAACTATCATAACTGTAATAACTTTCTTGCCAGATATACCAACTTTATTTATGGTCCCCTTTCCTTTAATTCTAAATCATGCATTTGCAAGCTTCAGTAAACGCTGTCTTATGACTTGATTGTTTTACTAGATGTGTATGTTTGTAATGATAGCTACTGCTAAGCTCAGTTTAATATCAGTCTGTTTCAAATATTTTATTAAGAAACATGTACAATGCACGTGAAAACTTTTAGATTGAATATAGTGCTTCAGTTGTACAAGTCAGTCAGTGAACGATGCTGCATATACCCACACAAACCAGCGCTAACCAAAGACGAGGAAATTTATTTAGCGTCTTGTTCTGTATAACAGAAGACAGAGCAATGGTTGCCAAGTCTGTACAAAACCCTTCATCTGGCACTAAGGACATATGGAATACAAATACAGGATCTAAAGGTTGACATGTCCTTTTTCCACCAGAGAAGAATACAGACAGCGCCAAGCATTAACACAATACAAATCCATTCCCAACTCCCAATTCATTCACAATCCTTTCTGAGACAATTCATATTTACTTGTCTCTGTTCTTAATGCATCATTAATAAATTATTATCATTATTAACATCATTAATAATATTGCATGTCTTTTCAAAATGCAGTCTCTCAAACACAGGTTTAAATTATAAGCTAGCTCTTGTTTCATAATTATTAAGATGAGTCTTTAGAAAGTGTCTGAGCTTCAAAGAAATCTCTCCTTGTCAACGTGTTTTTCTGCTGGAGCTGGTAAAAGAATGGAGACACTCCCTGGATTACAACTCCAATTCCCAAAAAGTTGCAATTCCGTGTAAAGTGAAAATAAAAACTGAATAACATGAATTTGCAAAACTTATAAACCCATATTTTATTCACAATAGCACACAGAAAACGTATGAAAAATATCCAAACTGAGAAAATGTGAGGTATTTAGGTGTATTTAATAAATAAATAATATTTAATAATTATTTAATAAAGAATAAAAATCTCTTTGGTTAATTTAAAATAAAATAAAAAAGTAATCTGTAAAATAGGGATTTAAAACAAATCCCTATCGATCCCTTTTTTCCCCCAATTATTTAGTTTTTTGATGGGAAAAACCTGTAAACTAGTTCAACTTCATTCTGAGCTGTTGTAAGATTCACGTAACAATACACTGAAATAAGAATAAAAACCCATGATCAAGTGTAGTCAGACAAGCAACATACTAATATTTGATGCTGATCTGATGCAGTGTGACCAAGGGCAGACAGATATGATATAACCACAGGAGGTTACAGAGCAGAGACATAAACAGAGGAAGCCGAATACACTGTATTTCTTTGCCTCTCAAGCCACTTATCATTGTAATACCTCTGCTTCCTATGACTTAGACTCATATGCACTTAGAGAGCAGTCCCAAAGTCTAAAATCTAAAACAGTTAAAAGCAGAATGTGGAACTCGGCAAGGTGGATATTTTTCTACACCTTAGAGTTTAATAAAATTCCCAGCCCACATTTCAATCACGTCCCTACTGCAAGCCAATGCAGTCAGTTTAATGTCTACATGAATGAAAATAAAAACATCATATTTTAGTTAGATGCTAAATCTAAAACACAGAGAATCAACAATTGTTATCCAATTGTGTGATTTATCAATACACAAAGGTTTGCTATATTTAGCAACAGCCGAAATGTATCTGTAGCCAAAATGCCCAATACAAGTGTTTCCACTTGTTTTACTAGAATAGATCTCTTCTTTTGATTAATGGATGTAATTTTCAGCAACTTTAATCTGAGTAGAGGTTTAATCAGACACTAATTGAAACACATGAGTGGATGTTCTTGACATTTTAACCAAGTGGTTTCAATTTCCTTTACTTGAAATGTACTTTAGTTTGCAAATCTATCTATATAGTAAATGATTTTTGACCGAATCCATAAATCACAAAGCCTGATTATCCAAATTACTGGGATAATTATATTTATTGGCTCATTAGTCCATTGTACATCATCTCATTATTACAAATTTTGTGGGTGTACATGCAGTGCACTATTAGTACTTACATCATCAAAAATGAAGCATATGCTTAAGTTCAATGAGGAAGATCTTTAATCACTCATCTGCCTTCTTTCCCTGCTTTTCTGTGTACATGTCTACTGCTTTCCCACACTGTCAGTCTCAATACTGACGTCATTACTCTAGTCCAGTCATCTTCTTGCAGGCCTTCTTCGAGCCTGTCAGCCTCCACTTTACATGGTTTAAATTTGTGCTCTCTGTCATTCTCCCTTTCAGGCTGTCATTCGTGCAACTCACCTCCTTCCCATCTCCACCTCACAGACACCTCAGTCAGAGCTCCATCCAAGCCTCAGTCTTCATCTTCACCACCAATCTCTAGACTCCACAGAGTATTGTCCTAAATCCTATCACTGCTGGGATTCCATACTGCCATGATGGGTCATCGGAGTCTAATTGCCAAATACATTGATTTCTATCTATCTCTATCTCAATAAATCATGTTGGGTTCTGCCAAGTGATCTCTCCTTATTTAACTTGGTTTCATTAATATTCACATACTGCAAATCACCAACACTCTTCTTTCAAGTCATCATTTACCATTTGAAAGCTTAAACAGTGTTTACTTGCCTCTGTCCTGATGTCTGAATACTTGCAAACCAGTGACCAGCGAACATTCAAATGCAAGTTAGCTCTAATTATTACATCCATGTACACCTGTGTATATATCTGAGAAATCCCCATCTTCATTTTCAGTCAAAGTCAGATCAAAGAATTGTATTTTTAATAGGCTTACAGTTTGTTTTCAGAGTCTTCCTACTGACAAGTGACAGTTTGTTCCTTCTGATTAAAGAACACCAGCTTCAGCTTTGCTTTATAGACATGATGGCCCGAAAAGGATGCAATCAAACAATGGACAAGCTGTATAAAGGAAAGGTTTAAGATAAATGAAGCTGAAAATTATTTCAAACCAATTATACTACCTGGTAAATTAAGCTACAGCATTTTTTAAAATAATATGTACGTTAAATCATTACATCAAATAATAAATATTTATTAACAAACCGCACTCAGTGTATGCCAGATGTTTGAAGCTTATCCGTGTTATTCGGCAGATTAATATTCCTCTTGAAGCTAACACGTGGAGTCTCCTGGACTGACGCCAGCACAGAGACATGTATCATACCAGACATATCAGACACCCACCTTGATCCTCACCATAGGGGCTGTAAATGATGTGCCCCTGGTCATAACCTCCATGTCTGCAGTCGTAGCCATGCAGTCATCCGTGTCTGGATGTCTGGAGAGCACAATTATAAACTTCATGTCTGTGGTTCAGAACAGATGGGAATAAAGCTTGGCAATGTGTGGTGTGAAAAAGGCTCATCTTTCCTGACTTGTTTTCATTAGAATAATGTCATCCTGTGGGTCAGTTAGAATGGAGAGAGAGCCAGCAGCTCTGAAATGATTAGTTTAATTGGTTGGGTTTTCAGACAGATCCCAGGACTTAGACCGCTCCCACAGTAGATTGAAGCACATGAGTGGCTAATGAAGCAACCAAGCACTTTACCTTTGAATCTTTTCTATGTGCTCTTTAGCTGCTTGACTCTCTCACTCACTCTCTCCCTCTCACTCACACACACACACTCTGTATGTGTGTGTGTCCCTGTGTGTCTTCTAGATTTCAAGCCAACAGGTCCCCTCTAACTGTGTGATCAAGATGGAGCAGGAGAAATGCATGGAAATGATGGCCTTGGATTCCAACAATCAAGAATTTGGTGAGTCTTTGTTGCCTTCATGATAAATTTGTATTTTTAGCTATGCAGAGATTAAAACAGAAGCATCTTTGGATTCTTCGTGCTAATGAGCTGGTGATAACTCCACAAACTGTAGATGACTCACCTGATCCTTGGAAAATGTTTTTTTTTTTTAAAAAAAAGAACCTCACAGTTCATAGCCTCTGTGCTTAATTTGAAGCATCAGATAACTAATGAGGCCACAGGAAGACTGTGTTTTTGGAGCAAGGGAGGGGCACGTGCTTTAGTTGTTAGTGTCTTGTGATGATGATTCTGAAAATGAAAGTTGATCAGTGAGTGACAGCTGTCTCTCTGGCTGATTAGATGATGAATGAAGGGAATATTAAAATGATGGGCAACTTGTGCCAGTTCTCCTTCGTGACCTTAGTTTCTGACTTAACTCTCACTGTCAGAAACTAACGGTGAACTGTTCCATATTCAACAACCCTTTGTCATATATATCCAGCCTGGCCTTTTATTTTGTCTCCACAGACCTTTAATAAAAACATTTGTTATGTGTTGTTAAAAACTTTTTTGTGGTGCTAGAGTTCAGATAATCTTACAGAGTAAACTAACATTAGCTACTTAAATACTTTTTAACTATTGTGCAACCATTCCCATATGGAAAAGAAATAGTAAAAACTTATATGATTTACTCATGAAAGTGGCCACTTTCTCATTACTTTCATATATTGCTTTAGTAAGTATCCAAAACATACAAGTTTCATTTATATAATTTGTCAAGGGATCTTATATCCGTTTTCACTCTTGTATGCTTTTCATACAAGTTTCACACAAGACAGATACAAACTTTATAAGATTTATATATATCTTTTCCATATGGGTTGTGGGAGTCTAGCAGTTGTTTTCGGTGTTTGCGTGTATAGATTTTAAATTGTAATATCATGGTTTCTTGGCATATTACAAACATTTCAGCAGTATTTGAATTTGAGAAAAGAAACATGTTCACTTTTTGGGACAAATTCACTGTCAAATACAAAGAGTAGGTTTATCAGACACACATATATAACCATATCATTAACGTATATGTGCACCAATTTTTTACAACTGCAGGTTTAATAATCTCTGACAGGAAAGCTCACTGATTAAAGCAGTGCTTAGACTACATTGTTAGATCCTGATTCACCCCCCATTTCCTAATGGTCTGTGCTGTCTGTATACTAGTCTGCAGAATATATTGTTAAAGCTAGGGCAGGAAGATGTTTTTGACATTCCTGGACTATTAACCTACTGCCTTCTAGCAAATGTTAATTCAACTGGTCTTTAGGTAGACTTAGTCCATATAAATTTTTTCAAACCTTCATACACTACCCTGATGATGTTTCATTTCATTAGCTGCATGTGATAGCACTAGATGGCATTAGAAATCATAGAAATAATTCAGTATTTCAAGTATTTCTCTGATTAAAACAACAGATTACTTTGGAACGTGTTACACCCATGAAGAAGAAACCGCTGGCAGAACTGGCCTAAGGGAGGGGCAGCACAGAAGAAAATGACTCGGGCAATTGAAACACACACAGAAATGGCAACTGCACTGAACTGAGATGAGCTAGAAGCCGTTGTCATCATGAAAGTGGCTTCAAAAGACAAAACCAAATATGTAACCAGTACTACAGAACTTCAGACCAGTGCTAATATTAAAACTTTAATGATAATATAAGCACGGAATACAGAGCCCATTGTACTATTTGCAAAAAGCAGTCACAACTACCACTAACAACAATGTCCTAAAAACAGAATTTAAACCTGATGTACCACTTTACATGCTTTCTGCAGGCATCTCTCCATTTCTAACTCAAGGTCTGTTTTAAGTGAGCTTTAGACATTCAAACTGCAACGCTAAATGATTTGCAGTGAAAAAAAGGGGAGCATCTGGAGCAGAAGTTGAATGGCTGAGTTCTGCACTGATTGATTATAATTCAAGCCAGGGTGTTGTTGTGCAGTTGCTCTGTTTAAAGAACCGTTCTTTATGTTGGTTCACTGCTCACTGTTCACTTTGAGGGGGCAGTAGAACACATGGGGACCAATGACCAATGTACTTAACATTTACTCACTGAGCTTCATTAGTTTGTGAATACCTCTTTTAAAAAGCACATTTTGCGGGGTTTAAATCGAGAGTTTAATTGAAATAAGTCTCTTTTTGTAGAACTTCCCTAATTGCAATGGGACAAATCATGGAACAGTATATATATTTGAAAGCCCCATGCTGGACAAAATGGCAGCACAATCCCACAATAAATCCAAAAGATGGCTTGTCACTATCATATTTTATGACACAGAAGAAAAAAAATATGTTTTTGACCAGGGACAAATTATTTGGTAGCTTATCAACACAGCTAATTGCTATTTTTAGTGTTTTTCGTTGGAATGTTTGACATAAAACACACCACGTCATCAAATTAGGGCATACCTCACCAATGTAACTGCACACAAAATATTAGTTATATTTAAAGCTAAAATATCCAGTTGTTTTCCAGTTATCCTTTAAAACTGTGTCTAATTTAGAGTGACATGTAAATACACTCAAACAGAATAGCAAATTAAAAGGTTTCAAATCTATGAGACTTGCTCCTTGATTTCTGATGCAAACCGATCCCTGTATAAAAGTGCCGTAGAAAAAGATGCAACAGCAAAGACAATTTTTTACTACTATCATCATGTAGTAGTCTGATAATTGATTTATTTAGTCCAAAGACCAGTTAGATGGAAACAAAGAAAAAGTACCTGGTCAAAATGTAATTTGATATAGTAGCAGTGATATGAAATGAACATATGGCTTTTTGGACTTGAGCACTGAGCTTTTCTCCCCGTTGTGTCCCCAGACTGCCCGTGGTTTTGGGACAATCTGACATGTTGGCAGCCTGCCAGGCTCGGGGAGGTGGTTGAGGTCAACTGTCCTGAACTCTTCTCTCAGTTTATGAGTGAAGAAGACTACGGTCTGTTTCTATACATTTATCTTTATATTTCAGACAGCTCTACTGCTGTAGAATTACATTGGTGTGTTTGGCGTGTTTACTGTAAGTAAGTAAAGGGCTCTGTGTCTGCAGAATTGGGAAAGGTTAGCCGCAATTGCACTCAGTTTGGTTGGTCGGAGCCTTTTCCCCACTATCTTGATGCCTGCCTGTACGAGGAAGGAAACAGCACCCACCCTGTGAGTTAAACAGCACCTCAGCATCTGCAACTGTGTCTAATGCACAGTTGTATTTGACATTTTCTACATGAAACGCTCTGTGTCTCTATCACCATTGTAGGACATGTATTACGTGTCAGTGAAAGCTCTGTACACTGTGGGCTACAGCACCTCTCTGGTCTCTCTAACCACCGCCATGGTCATCCTGTGCAGGTTCAGGTGAGAAATACTGTACGTCTTATAGGTGATAAGACTGACTTTAAACCAGATGAAATGCATCTGCTACAAGATCAAAACCACTGACAGGTGAAGTAAAGAGTACTAAGGACCTCGTCTTTGTAATGGAATCTTTCTGTGCCATTTATGAGTCAGCCTGTGGATGCTCAGTTTATGAAGTTGGTACAAATTGTTAGTGTGAGGATCTGACAGACTTGACTGTATATAAAAGATACAGCATCCATAAACTCCACAGGTTAAACACGCAGATACCTGCCAATAGGCCTTTATTATCACACTACAATAAACACTGAAATTTCACTCACCAACACTGAAGCACAAACTATTTGAGTAGTCTGCTTAGCAGTCCATATTAATTATCAGATAATGCCATTAAAATGTTTCCAAATACAGCAGAGAGGTCCAGTTCAGTGGTTCACAGTCAAAATGGCCACGCCCCTAACTTCAGATTTAGAAAAACCCAAATAGGTCATATTACTGGTATTACCTTTTGGACATTTTGCTATGGAAGTCTCTGGAGACTGACATGCTTTTGGAGCCAGCCTCAAGTGGCTATGGACACTAATTAATGTGACAGAAGTAGTAGTACTTATGCTTCTAACACTGGTATCCTGTCTATGTGTTAACAGTGAGTCAGTGTTTTGCAGAACAGCACTTGTGTGTGTTTATCAGGGAAAAGAAAATATTAGTTACAAAGTAATACATTTGTATCCAGAGTGTTCACATTTATTCCTTCACACAGGAAGCTGCACTGTACCAGGAACTTCATCCACATGAACCTCTTTGTGTCATTCATCTTAAGAGCTATTTCTGTCTTCATCAAAGACGGCGTGCTGTATGCAAAAGAGGACAGCGAGCACTGCTTCATACACACTGTGAGTAAAGCAAGCTGCACATGTGCCAGTAAAGCAGGCTGTACTCATGCTGGTGATGGTTTGTGGCACCTTTGCTGACACTCTCTTGCACGTTGCTTTTATCTGTCTTCTCTTGAAGCTGGAGTGTCGAGCGGTGATGATATTCTTCCACTACTGTGTTCTTTCTAACTACTTCTGGCTCTTCATCGAGGGTCTGTATCTCTTCACGTTACTAGTGGAGACCTTCTTCCCTGAGAAAAGATACTTCTATTGGTACATCATAATAGGCTGGGGTGAGATGTCTTACATGCCATGCTGTCGTTGTATTCATATTTCCAAATGTCATGTTGCTTACTTGGTGATGTGGGTTTCAGGGACCCCAACGGTGTGTGTGACCATCTGGGCAGTGCTGAGGCTGCACTTTGATGATATAGGGTGAGTTATGAATAACACTGTAAGTAGAGTCTCATGTTTTCGTTGCATATGTGCTGAACATTTCATTTTATCATCTGCACTCTTAGCTGCTGGGACATGAATGACCATGCTGCCATCTGGTGGGTGATAAAAGGACCCGTGCTGGCTTCAATTATGGTGAGAAGCTAGGATGCAAAAACGCAGTCTTTCTTTTGTCAAGTATATTTGTATTACTTTTATACAACTGGTTTATTCTACAGGTCAACTTTGTGCTGTTCATTGGCATCATCATCATCCTGGTTCAGAAGTTACAATCTCCAGATATTGGTGGAAATGAATCCAGTATTTACCTGTAAGTACTTGACATTAACATAAAGTTTCTTATTAGATCAGACAAATGAATTTTTTTTGAATGTGTTTAATATCTTATTTGTGTATTTAACATAATTTTATACCATTTTGTGATCAGTGCTAAAACATAACAAGTGATTCATTGTGTAATTAATTAACAACAAGTACTTTTTACCCAATAAGGAGAGCATTTCTCTCTATTTATAAGTTTTGGATTTGTCATGCAGTTTGCTTCACTGTTAATGAAAACACATTAGTAGCACATTATTATTAGCATTTACTTTTAAAAAATTGAGGTGTTTTACTGTCGTATATCAGATCAAGTTTATATGATGTAGCCTTTTGATGTACTGCACATTCAAAATAGACAAATTAATATAACTCATAACCATGTTTGTATAGCTACACTTACATTGACACTACTGAATACTAAATACTGAATATGAAATGTACTAAACTCACCAAGTTTGACAGTGATTGTTCAGGATGCTGCACATTAGAATTTGAAGTACTTGGAGACAAATTCAGTATTTCTGCATCTTAAAACTTTAACTTTGTCTTTCCATTTTTGTAGAACATATTTCACTTTTTACTTGACTACATTTAGTCACCTAACTATGTACAATAGTAACACCAGTGTCACAGACCCATTTGTGGATGGATCTGAATACATATGGATGACTATGTAGTCCAGCTGTCCATCCATACATTTTGGGGGCACTGGAGCTTTGGACAGTCTATCACAGGGCTATCACCATTCACACTCACATTCATGCCTACAGTCAACTTAGAATCAGCAGTCAATGTAACATGCATGCCTTTGCACTGTGGGAGCTTGGGGTAAGCTCCATGATTCCTGGAACCCTATTATTTATTCTCCAAGTTAAAGTTCTGATTTGCCAGCTTTTTCAGAGCTCACGCTGATCTGATCGTGGGGGAAAGTGTTTAGTTATAGATATATAAGTTACAGATATGTTACTGACTGAATTTAAAACCTTGAAACCTTGAAATGGCATTTTTATCCTCATGCATATATGCCCTACTATAAATTTAGTCTTCTGTGTATAAGGACTGACACATTGGTAGAACAGCTCTCTCATTATGATGGTGATGATGATGAGTGTGTTTCATGCGTTTGCTTCACAGGAGGTTGGCACGCTCCACTCTGCTGCTGATTCCTCTGTTCGGGATCCACTACACTGTGTTCGCCTTCTCTCCTGAGAATGTCAGCAAGAGGGAACGTCTGGTATTTGAGCTTGGGCTCGGATCCTTCCAGGTAATTATTTCTCCTGCATAGCCTAATGTAGGCAAGGATAATGCCTGTGTGAACTATTTTCAGAATAAAACTTTCAGTCTATAGTGTGGCAGTGCATCAGTTTCTTTCTACTCTTTGATCTGTTTTTATAGCTGTTGTTGTTGTTTATGATCTGTATTTATAGGGAGACGACATCCTTAATATTAGCACAGAACCTCTGCCCACCCCCTATTCAAACTTTTTCTTTATGGGTGGCAGCCAGTCAGAATAAATTTGACTTAAAGAGAGTGAGAAGGAAGCTAAAACAACTTGTTTCACACAGAGGGTGAACTGAGGGGATGCTTCAAGGCCCAGTAAGATAATTAATAATAATTCATAATTTGAAGTCTTAAGTTACAAAATTCTGATCTAGTAAAGTCTAAGAATTAAAATCTGGAGCTGGAAATGAGCAAAGTAGGTCTAAACATTTTTTACATTATTTTTCAAATCCAAAGTCAAAATTCAGAACATAATTTTTGCTAGCAACATTTATATACCTCCACTAGAAGGCAGCATCTTGCAGCGTGACTTAATCACCCTGCATATTCAGCCATCCATCCTGAGCTGAAACTGCCACATTACAGTTTTTTACAGCCGCTAGGACACATTTCTCAATACTTAGGTCACTTTTGCAAAACTCTTCACACAATTCTCCTAACTGACCTTCAGCTTGGCAAAGCAGTTCATTTCACATTCAAAATGCACTACAACTACCAAAACACTTTATTCAGGTCTCAAATAAACTCATTCTTCCAGAACACTAGCAAAGGTTGACAGCCGACAAACACACTTTGTTACCCACAAAACAATGACCTAAAAAACACTAACAACATGTAGCATTACACAGTGTTTTCTTGTGTAAAACAAGGACACATCTCTGTTTATAATTTCAATATATGTTACTGGAATGAATCAGACATCATGCAGAATTTATGTATTTTTATTTTTTTGCACTAAGTAATCCCAAAATACAAGAATTTGTATACACACCATCCACTGATACACATACAAT